GGGTGGGTCCCTCGGACCCACTTCTGGCAGCAGGAAGAGGCAGCTGGCAGCTCCAGGCCTGAACGCTGGTGGGTCCCAGCCCTTCCCAGGGCTTTATGTTATTCAGATAGGACAAGGTTTTGTTTTTTAGTTTGCCAGGGTGGGGAGAAAAAGCACCCAGGGGGAGGGAACCAGCAGTTAGCGTAATGGCTATGTCGCTGGACTCCCACGTAGTCGACCGCGGTTCGTGTCCCGGACCCGGTGGCTTAAAACTCACGCCGGGCGCGTGTGCGTGCGTGCCCAAGATCCCGAGAGGGGAATGGAGGAGAAGGGATTGCGGCGTGACCATCCCCCCTGGGGGGTGATTTCTCGCTTTCTGTCTCTATGTCTCTCTCTGTCTGTCTGGCGAGCGCACGCGCCCTACAGTGAAAATCTCTCCAAAAAAAAAAAAAAAAAGCACCCAGGGGGCATGGTCCTGCAACCCCTCCTCCCTTCTGCCCTCTGGGGTCTGGGCCAGCTTGCCCGTGCGCCCAGGGTATTTCCCAATCTGCCGGGCTTAGGGTCTAAACCAAGCAGTGGGCCATATAGGGCCCAGCTGTCCCAACCACAGACCATGGGCCAAGACTTTTCATTTTGGTACAATGTGGAGAAACACAAAATTCTGAAGGAAAGTGCTTCTGGCCCCACGAGCAGACTGCGCCCCCACCCTGGCAGGGAGCCTCGCCTAGCCTCTGTGTTCTCAGTGTGGCCAACCCACTCCTTCCCTGCTGGGAGGGCCCAGAGCCAAGATCAGAAGCCCCCATTGCATGGCCTGCCCTCCCGTGTCACCTCCCCTTTCTGCAGACGGGCACAGAGGCAGCGACAGGGCCCTGAGTCCCCACTGGTAGCTGGCGGGGAGAGGTGTCTCCGGGAAAGCCCCAGCTGTGAGCAGAGCCAGAGGGGCTCTTTCTCATCCTGGTAGGAGGGGTGAGCTGAGGGAGCCGAACAGCTGTCCCCACTGGCCCTCGACGCTCTGCTCTGGCTCTACGGCCACCAGCATACTGTCTCCAACAGCTCAAACGCACAGCGCCATCCCCGGCGGGAGCCCCTGCCAGGCAGGAACCCATCCCCAGCACGGTGGCTCGGCTGGCCATGGCAGAGGCCCTTCAGTCCTGGGCCTGTTGCTTCCCTAGGGACCCTCCTCCTGCTCTAAGGCCGCAAGACAACTTGCGTTTAGACAATCTTTTTTTCTATTTTCCACTTTGTTTCTCATTCCACTTTTCTGGGAAAGCGTCTCAAGTTTATCTTCTGATCTTTTAAACTCTTCTGGCATCCTTGAATGATCTCTCCATGACTCCAGCTCAGTCCTGTTCTGCTGGCCTTGTCACATAGGCACCACAGCCACGCCCAGCCTCTGCCCCTCTCTGCCTCCGAGTCCCGGCTGTCTCCTGGCCTGTGCCTGGCACTGGGGTCCTCCCCGGAGCGCGTGGTTCTGTGGCGACGGCGCTGGAGCAGCGAGAGGCTTGCAGGCCCAGGAGATGGCTGTCTTTCGGGAGGCCTTCCCTGTCCACGGGCTGGGAGCACAGGCCTCAGCTGCAGTGTTTTCAGAGGACCGCAGGAAGGAGCCCCGGGCTCGCTGCTCAGTGCCTAGGCAGCCACCGAGGAGCCCTGCCCACCCTGGGCTCTAGGGCTGTGGCCTCTCAAAGGAGCCTCTCTATTTCCCCCAAGGCAGCTCCTGCCCCGGGCACTGCTCCCTGACTGCCCACCTGAGACCTGCCACAATCACCATCACCTTGGTGCCTCCGGTGGCGACGGCCAGCCCAGCGCAGACTGAGGGAAGGGTCTAACCCTGACCCCGTACCACACCTACAGCCTCCCACCCTGTCATTCACCTCCTCTCTGCCCCGACAGGGGAGACCCTGACTGTCCCCACCCTTCAGCCTTTGCTGTCTCCCCTAGCACCATCTAAACATGCCTGAGTCGCCACCTTACAAAGGCCTTCTAAATCTCTAGCCTCTCACAGCCAGAGCATTTTCCTGGTCAGTGCTGAGATACTCTTTTTAAAATTTTTTAAAAATAATTATTTCATTTATCTTTATTTATCTATTTTAATTTGACTGGAGGAAAGAGGGAGGGGGGAAGGGGAGAGAGAGAGGAAAAAAGTGAGAAAGCAAGCCACCAGGTCTGGGACTTGAACAGCGGTTGGCCACGTGGGAGTCCAACATCCTTAACCACCACGTCACCTGCTGCCCCATGAGTTGAGACATTCTTACAGGTTCTCTCGCTGGCTCACTCATCTCCCGAGGTTTGGATTCTCTCCCCCAAGAACCACTGAAACCACTCCATTCCTTGCTGCTAACTCCCCTGGGCGCCACCAAGGCCTCCTCTTATCTGCCTTCTGTGCAGCTTTGAAGGGGACACCCACTCGCCTGCCCTCCCACCCTTAGCATTCAGGAAGGCCTGTCTGGGGGAAGTACCTCCGTTTCTCACACTGTGGCCATCTCAACAGCTATGTCGGCCCCAGAGCCGTCCTCGGGGCCGTCTGTGCTGAGCCCTGCACACCTGCTCCTTCTGAATTCCCTATCCCTGTGGCTGGACCACCTCCCTGTGCTGCCAGAGCCCACAGCCTCGTCCAGATGCAGCCCTCTCCTGCTCAGGGCCGGCCGAGGCCGCGTCCTGGCGGCTCTCCCATCTGAACATCTCTGGGTGTGAGCCAGACTTCTGCCCCATCTGCTCAGACCTCCGGCACCTCCCGGCCTGGCACTGCTGTCCACCTGTCCCTCCATCCCCCCGCTGTAGGCAATGGTGGACCTGAGTGACTCTTTGTGCCAGTGTCTCCTCCTGCCACGCTGTGGCTCTGGGCTTTGTGGACAGGCCGGCTTCCTGCCCGGCCTCTCTTCGCTCTCTCCGACGCTTCCTTGTCTTGGAGGTCCTGAACTGCTTTCCAGTCCGCCTGCACAGCTGCTGCGGCTTCCACCGCCCTTCAGGACTGGGCGGTTTCCCCTTCCAGGGAACTGGGCTGAACCCCCAGGCGGCCGGCTGGGCCTGAGCCACTCCCGCCCCTGCTGCTGCTGCCACAGCGTGACCTCCGGTCGAGAAACTGGTACTGTGTTGCCGGCTGGATGCCCAGAAACGTAACGGGCACTTGAAAAAACGTTCAAGTAATTAAAGAATGGTCCCCAAAGGCCTCTAGCGATACATACAAGGTGCAGACCCAATTAATTCGCAACACAGCCCTGAAAAATACGAGAGGTTGAAACGGAGAACAAGGACACTTGGTGGCTGTGAAAAGTTTATTAGGGAGGACAACCAGAATGCCCAGTCCCAGCCAAAACTACCCTCTCCAGTTCACCCCTACGCGCACCGGACACACGTGCTTCTCAGCCCCGCAGGCGGCGGAAGCGGCGGGCGGGCGGAGGGCAGGGTCTGAGGCCACCGGGCGGCCTTACCTTCATGTTGTCAGGGGCGTCTCCTTGGCCTGTAGTCGCGCAGACAAACACTACCAGGGGCTCCTTAATCAGATCGACCTCCACAGAAAGACACGCACGTCAGCCCCGGGCGAAGCCCGGCCCTCTGCCCGAAGCGCGCCGCCCGCGAAGGCCCTCGGGTCCTCACCACCGGGTACGCGTCCAGGGCCAGCACGCGGCAGCCGAAGTGCCGGCGCCGGGCCTCACGGCCCAGCCTCTCCGCCACATCCTCGGCCGTGCCCGTCTGGCTGCCGAAGAGCACCAGGAGCTGCGGGCTCGGCATCGGGGCGCTCGCGAGGACGACTCCCGCCTGCCGGGCAGCAAGGACCGCGCCGACTTCCGCCTGCCCTCCGCCTTCCGTCGTCGACCGGAAGTGAAGGACTCGGGCCGGCCCC